CAATACAGGGGTGATATTAGTACCTACCTCATGGGATTGTTAACAACGGCATTATCAGGGCAATGTGTCTGGCACACAGTAGGTGCTTAAATAGGTGGGAGCTTGCGATCAGCCATGGTCACCATGGTCACCTTTAGGCAGCTCTGCCCATGAGATGCTATTCCTTTTTTGTTGTTTTGTTTGTTTTTGTTTTGTTTTTATTTTTGTTTTAGACAGTCTCTCTCTGTCGCCAGGCTGGAGTGCAGTGGTGCAATCTTGGCTCACTGCAACCTCTGCCTCCCGGGTTCAAGCAATTCTCCTGCCTCGGCCTCCTGAGTAGCTGGGACTACAGGTGGGCACCACCACGCCCAGCTAATTTTTTGTATTTTTAGTAGAGACAGAGTTTCACCATGTTGGTCAGGATGGTCTCGATCTCCTGGCCTCGTGATCTGCCCACCTCGGTCTCCCAAAGTCCTGGAATTACAGGCATGAGCCACCATGCCGGGCCAATGCTATTCCTTTTTCCATCCCTTTAGCAGATATTTTTTGAGGGCCTACTAAGCACCAGGTCCGTTTAGATGCTGGGGACTCAGAGATCGTGCCTGTAGGATTTGACAGTCTAGTGGGGAGACAGACAATACCCAAGAAAATAGAGAGTTTGCCAATGGGGCTAAGGGCTACCGGGGAGAGAATTCTAGTGACCTTCCTGCGAGAGGTGAGGTTGGGGGGGCATGCAGGTGCGTGGGAGCAGTGGCGTCTAAGCAGAGGGAACAGGATATGCCAATGGTCAGAGGCAGAAGTGGGCCTGGGTGTCAGAGAACAGTGAGGAAGGCCAGGGCGGAGGTTCAGGGATCCTTGGCTGGTAGTAGCCATGGGGGAGGGGAGAAGAGGACATCCCCAGAGCCATTTGGAAGGCAGACTCAGCATATTTTCATACCTTGGAGACCCCATGGCAGTCCCCAAGCCTGGACCCCTGGGGTCTCTGAGCCTCACAGGTTTTTGCTAGTCCCTCGCTGGTCTGAGGCTCCTAGTCTCCTGGAGAGAGAGGTGGTCGGTCCTGCTAGTGACTCCATTCTGTTCTTGTCTCTCTCTTTGTCCTCCCTCCTGGGCGCTCTTGAAGATAAAGGTACTCTGTGTGTGTGTGTGTGTGTGTGTATGTGTGTGTGTGTGTGTGTGTTTGTCCGGGAAAATGTGTGTGGATGTGCCTGCTCCTGTGTGGGTGGAGGGACAGGCAGGAAGGGACATCCAAAGGCCTGTCCTGGGCTGGGCAGGGGCTTGTGGTCAGGGGCTGCCGTGGGGGACCATGGAGGCTGGAAGGCTGGGAGAGGGAAAGCATGGGACTTGCTGTGTGGGAGTTGGGCAGCATGGGGTGGGGGACCCTGGGGGACACTGGAGAGACCTCAGGATTCTCTAGGGAGCCCACCTCTGGTCACCCCTCATAAAGGGAGGTCCTTGGGGAGGCCCGTGTCTGGGTGTCCCCAGCTAAGCCTCCCACCCAGGCCCCCAGAAGAGTGCCTGGCCCCTCAATTCCCACATCTCCTTCTGGAGTCCAGATCCTGGAGGCAACACCCCTCTTGGAGTCCTTCGGTAATGCCAAAACCGTCAGGAACGACAACTCCAGCCGCTTTGGGAAGTTCATGGAAATCTTTCTGGAAGGGTGAGCTGGGACAGTGGAGGGCCTCCGAAAAGCTTTGCAGTGTCTTCCATGTCCCGCCACAGCCCCTGAGCCAACACCAGCCCTCCTACCCCCACTGAGAGCTGACTGTTCTCCCCACCCCAGGGGCGTGATCTCTGGTGCCATAACCTCCCAGTATCTGCTTGAGAAATCCAGGATCGTGTTTCAGGTGGGCCAGCCCCTCCCAGGCCTGTGTGTTGGGCAGGGTGGGGGTGGGAGGTACAGATACTCAGAGCCTGGCCCCTGGTGGGGCTGGGTAGATGTGAAATTAATGAATGAATACGTGCATACATGTGTACATGGGAGCCTGGGACCTCCCCTCCCTGACCCTCCTCCAGCCACAGTGGCTCCTCCCTGCCCCACAACACACAGGCACGCTTCTGCCAGGGCCTCTGCACCTTCTGTTCCTTCCCTCAAGAGCACTTATCCCTCAGGCGCCTGCTTGGCCAAACCCCTCACTTCCTCCAAGTCTCCCCTACAATTTCACCCACTCAGGAAGCTCTCCATTTAAAAACGCAACACCTCTCCATCCCATCAGAACCCCCACCTCCACTGCTTTATTTCTCTCCAGTGTACTTATTTTTTTTGTTTGTTTTTGTTTTTGTTTGTTTTTTTGAGACAGAGTGTCACTCTGTCGCCCAGGCTGGAGTGCAGTGGCACGATCTCGGCTCACTGCAACCTCGGCCTCCTGGATTCACGCCATTCTCCTGCCTCAGCCTCCCGAGTAGCTGGGACTACAGGTGCCCACCACCACACCCGGCTAATTTTTTGTATTTTTAGTAGAGATAGTAGAGATGGGGTTTCACCATGCTAGCCAGGATGGTCTCAATCTCCTGACCTCGTGATCTGCCCACCTCGGCCTCCCAAAGTGCTGGGATTACAGGCGTGAGCCACCGCACCTGGCCATATTTTGTGTTTTGTTTTTTTTTTGAGACGGAGTCTTGCTCTGTCACCCAGGCTGGAGTGCAGTGGTGCCATCTCGGCTCACTGCAAGCTCCGCCTCCCGGGTTCACGCCATTCTCCTGCCTCAGCCTCCCCAGTAGCTGGGACTACAGGCACCTGCCACCACACCCGGCTAATTTTTTTTTTTTTTTTTTGTATTTTTAGTAGAGACGGGGTTTCACCATGTTAGCCAGGATGGTCTTGATCTCCTGACCTCGTTATCCACCCGTCTCAGCCTCCCAAAGTGCTGGGATTACAGGTGTGAGCCACTGCACCCGGCCATATTTTATGTTTTAACCAGTGATTTGCTGAGTGTCTGTCTCCCTAGCTAGCGGGTGGGCTCCATCAGGACAAGGGTTTCTCTCTGCCTTGTTCTCCACTGTGTCCCAAGGGCCTAGGATAGGTTTTGGTGCACAGGAAGTGCTCAGCCATCAACAAGCTCTGTGTGTGCACATGTGGTCTGTGGATAGACATGTATGTAGGTGTGTGTGGCCGGTACACATAAGAGAAGATGAGTCCCTTTTCTCTTATTTCTCCTAACCAAATAAAATCTCACCAGAACCCTCTCAACCTTCAGTCATACCAGGGCACCTCTGCTTCTGCCCTCACCCGCAGCTGGCACCAGGCTGGGAGCCCCATCCATCACAAAGGTGTCTGTTCTCATCTGCAACCCGCTGTGTGCATGTGCATTTGTGGGCAGGCTTGGGCCTGTATGTGTACCTGGGGGTCACCTAGGTAAGTGGTTTCCTTCTCTGTGCCCACCTACCCACTCTACAGGCCAAAAACGAGAGGAATTACCACATCTTCTACGAGTTGTTGGCCGGGTTGCCTGCCCAGCTCCGGCAGGCCTTTAGCCTGCAAGAGGCTGAGACCTACTACTATCTGAACCAGGTGAGTGCCAGCAGGCATCTGAAGGCTCCCAGCCCTGGTCCTCCCACCCTGACACCCCTGGGTAGGCTGAGGGAGCTGAGTTGTGAGTGATGGAGTGTGACGGTGATGGAGATTTGGGGAGAGTGAGTTTGGATTTAAGACATCTCGTCACAGTGAGGGGGAGCAGGCGTCTTCTGGGTCCAAAGTGGAAGCAGGAAAGGCCTACCTGACTTCATTTATCTGGAACCCGGAACAGAACCTACCAGTCTAGAGTTACTACACTTCCCCTCTCTGTAACTCAGCTTCCTCACCTGTAAAATGGGGACAACATAGTACCACTTTGCAGGGATGTAGTGAGGCTTAGATGAGGAAATGCATGTAAAGAGCTTAACACAGGGCCTGGCATGCAGTACATGCTCAGTAAACACTGACTACTCTTTTCATTATTATCACTGGGCAGCTACAAAGGTCAACAGGTGACAACCACTGCCACACATTGCACTTGGAATCTATGAACCCTGTCCTCTGCCCTGCTCAGAGCCTCCATGCCCATGAGAGTGGAATGAGAGCTTGAGTGACCAGCTCAGGCCACACTGCTGGTCAGGGCAGAGCAGGACCTGGAGGACTCCCCAGCCCCACCCAACCTCCCTGATCCTCAGCCTCTGCCCTCACGCAGGGTGGGAACTGTGAGATAGCGGGAAAGAGCGATGCAGATGACTTTCGCCGACTCCTGGCTGCCATGGAGGTGCTGGGCTTCAGCAGCGAGGACCAGGACAGCATCTTCCGCATCCTGGCCTCCATCCTGCACCTGGGCAACGTCTACTTTGAGAAGTATGAGGTGAGGGGACGCCACAGCCTGCCATGGGGCCCGCACCCTCTGGACTTGGCCGTCTTTTCCAAGGCCTTCTCTGTTTCCCTTTCAGATTACACTCTTCACACATCACTTGTTCCTGTTTTTTTTCCTTTTCCTTTGAGGTTGTCCATCTTTTTCCTCCTTATATGTATTAAGGAAATCAGCCCTTTGTCTCTGACATGAATTGCACATATATCTTCCAGTTTGTCATTTACGTTTTAACTTTGTTTACAATGTTTTTTGGTGGTTTGTTTTTGTTTTTGTTTTTTGTTTGTTTTTTGGTTTTTTTGGTGGGGAGGAGTCTCACTCTGTCGCCCAGGCTGGAGTGCAATGGCGCAGTCTTGGCTCACTCCTGTTGACTCACTGCAACCTCTGCCTCCCAGGCTCAAGTGATTCTCCTGCCTCAGCCTCCCGACTAGCTGGGATTATAGGCACGTGTCACTACCACTCCACTAATTTTTGTATTTTTAGTAGAGACGGGGTTTCACCATGTTGGCCAGGCTGGTCTTGAACTCCTGACCTGAAACGATCCACTCACCTCGGCCTCCCAAAATGCTGGGATTATAGGCGTGAGCCACCGCGCCCAGCCCTTTGGTGTTTATTTTATTTTATTTTGTTGATTTTTATGTATTTATTTTTTCTTTGAGATGGATTCTCGCTCTGTCGCCAGGCTGGAGTGCAGTGGCGCGATCTCAGCTCACTGCAACCTCCGCCTCCCAGGTTCAAGCGATTCTCCTACCTCGACCTCCTGAGTAGCTGGGACTACAGGTGTGTGCCACCACACCCAGCTAATTTTTGTATTTTTAGTAAAGATGGGGTTTCACCATGTTGGCCAGGATGGTCTTGATCTCTTGACCTTGTGATCCGCCCACCTCGGCCTCCCAAAGTGCTAGGATTACAGCCGTGAGTCACCAAGCCCGGCCTGTTGGGTTTTTTATGCAAATTGTTTTAAAATTATTTTTAGGTAGTTCATTTATCAATCTTTTCTAGTATATTTAAATTTTACATTTGAAATTTTAAACAACTTTTCATTTTTAGAGAAACTTCCTAAAATTGTAACAGCCTTTTTCCATAACTTTTTCTAAGACCTTTTATGGATTTTATGAGTTTTAAAAAACATTTAAATCTTTGATCCATCCAAATTTATCCTAGTAAGGTGTGACGTAGGAATCCAACTTTTTTTTCCAGATGTTTACTCAATTGTCCTAATCTCTTGATTTGAAAACTACATCTTCATTAGCCGAGTATGGTGGCTCGTGTCTGTAATCCCAACATTTTGGGAGGCCAAGGCAGGTGGATTACTTGAGCCCAGGAGCTCGAGACCAGCCTAGGCAACATAGCAAGGCCCCATCTCTACAAAAAAAAAATTTTGTAAAAAAGAAAGAAAAATACATCTTTATCATGTGCTAAGTTTATACATACATTTATATCTAATTCCAGACTTTCTTTTGTGCTTTGTTAATCTATTTATGTACTGTGTCTATAACGACACTGTTTTTTTTCTTTTAATCGGCTTTTTTTTTTCTTTTTATTTTTTGAGACAGGGTCTCACTCTATGGCCCAGGCTGGAGTACAGTGGCACTGTCATAGCTCACTGCAGCCTCAACCTCCTAGGCCCAAGCGATCCTCCTGCTTCAGCCTCCTGAGTAGCTGGGGCTACAGGTTTAGGCCACCATACCCAGCACATTTTTTAGACAGGGTCTCACTATGTTGCCAGGCTGGTCTTGAACCCCCTGCCTCATTCGATCCTCCCACCTCAGCCTCCCAAAGTGCTGGGATTACAGACATGAGCCACCGTGCCCAGCCTGTTTCTGTTTTTTATTTTTTAATTTTTTTGAGACGGAATTTCACTCTTGTCACCCAGGCTGGAGTGCAATGGCACGGCCTCAGCTCACTGTAATCTTCGCCTCCTGGGTTCAAATGATTCTCCTGCCTCAGCCTCCCAAGTAGCTGGGATTACAGGCAGCCACCACCGTGTGTGGCTATTTTTTTTTTTTTTTTTTTTTTTTTTGAGACAGAGTTTCGCTCTTGTTGCCCAGGCTAGAGTGCAATGGTGCGATTTCGGCTCACTGCAACCTCCACCTCCCAGGTCAAGCGATTCTCCTGTCTCAGCCTCCCGAGTAGCTGGGATTACAGGCATGTGCCACTATGCCCGGCTAGTTTTGTATTTTTAGTAAAGATGGGGTTTCTCCATGTTGGTCAGGCTGGTCTCGAACTCCTGGCCTCAGCTAATCCACCCGCCTCGGCCTCCCAAAGTGCTAGTATTACTGGTGTGAGCCATAGTGCCTGGCCCTGTTTTTCATATGAACTTTAAATTCAGCTTATCTAGTTCAAAGCACATTCCTGTTGGTATTTTGCATAGATGGATGCACAGGAGGTGGCCTCAGTGGTGAGTGCCCGGGAGATCCAGGCCGTGGCAGAGCTGCTGCAGATCTCCCCTGAGGGTCTGCAGAAGGCCATCACCTTCAAAGTGACCGTGAGTCTGTGGGCATCTGGCCTTCAAACAAAGCTTTCTACCAGGGCCTGGACAGAGCTGCCTTGTGCTGATCCTTCGTGGGCAGCCTTTCCCTCTCTCCTGCTTTCTCTGTCCCTGGGTCAGGCAGGGAGGGGAGTAATTTCAGACCCCAAAGACATTTCAGATTCCAATCTCAGACTGTTGCATAGGCTGTTTCCTCTACCTGGAATGCTCTTCCTCTTTTCACACCTACTCATCCTTTAAGAGCCTATCCAGGTATCCCCTCCTCTAAGAAGCCTTCCCTAATCTTTGGCCGGGTCAGTGCCTCATCTGGTCTTTCAGTCCTAGGCCCATTCCCCCTTCCCAGGGTTGATCTCATTGTATCTGCTGATGCCTCTGTCTCCCCCATTAGACCTGCAGTCCCCACCACTACCAGCATTGCCAGGCAGAGTTGGGGTGGGGGCGGGGGTGGTCCTGCCTAGTCTCTGTGTGCACAGTCACTATATCCCTCCAGCCTCCCTTCCCCATGCTCCCACTCCCCTAGTCCCCTGGGGGCTTTCTGGAGGCAGTGGCCAGCCTGCTGTCACTCAAGGGCTGTGCGCCTCCTTAGGAGACAATGCGAGAGAAGATCTTCACGCCCCTAACTGTGGAGAGCGCTGTGGATGCCAGGTGAGGCCGCGCCCTGCCCTGCCTGAGCCCCGAGGCCCAGCACCCCACACAGTGTCCTGCTCACACCAGTACCACCTCTGCTTCAGGGACGCCATCGCCAAGGTCTTGTATGCACTTCTGTTCAGCTGGCTCATCACCAGGGTCAACGCACTGGTGTCCCCACGGCAGGACATGCTGTCCATCGCCATCCTGGACATCTATGGTTTCGAGGTGGGGCCGTGTAGGAGGCTGAGGGGCGGGGGACATAGGCAAGGTCTCACCTCCCTCAGGTGTCTCGGGCTGCCCTTCCCATCCCTTTCTGTGCCTGCAGCAGGTGCCATCCTCCCTTCATGAACCCCTCCCTGTCACCATCTCCCTTGTCTCCTTTCATTTTCTTTACTCACCACAAGTACTCCCAAGGCCTCCGGGCCAGGCTCTGTGCTGGGCAATACCAGCTGCCCAGAAAGGACCAGCCAGGGGAGCTTGGGGAGCTTCCAGGTGAGGCTGGGTGGGGGTGGGGGCAGACTCTGACAAGCCCATATGCTCCAGTGGGCACCTTTAGTTCACCTGGGCAGGAATGGGGAAGGCTTCCTGGATGAGGGCAAGACACTCCTGAGACCCCGCAAAGGCACTGTAGGTGCAGGGAACAGAATATGCAAAGGCTGGGAGGGGTGGTGGGGCGTGGGGTCTGGGACTGGACTTCATGTGTGGGGGAGGGGTGACTGCTGTGCCAGTGCACAGCAAAGGAAGTGGCGAGGGATGGGGCAAGAGCACGATGCGGCCATCACAGGTACTCACGTGGCACCTGTTATGTGCCAGGTGCTGTTCAAAGCACTTTGTTAATTCACTTCATCCTTACAGTAACCTTGTGAGGCAGGTACTGTCAGTATCCTCATTTTACAGATGAGAAAACTGAGGCATGGGGCTGTTATTCAAGGTAATGTAGCTAGAAAGTGGCCGAGCCAGAATTTGAACCCAGGCAGAAGGCCCCGGAGCCTTGGCCATCAGCCACTGCCTGTCAGGTTCCGTCCTGGGTGCAGCAGGAGCCGTGGAAGGTTCCGAGCTGAGGGTCTGTGGTTGAGCTCCAGCTTTTTGAAGTTGCCACCAGGGAAGGCAGGGCAAACAGGCTGGTGGCCAAGGAAGGACCAGTCCCAGCCTCCCCATCCACCTGGCAGGACCTGAGCTTCAACAGCTTTGAGCAGCTGTGTATTAACTACGCAAACGAGAACCTTCAGTACCTTTTCAACAAGATCGTCTTCCAGGAGGAGCAGGTGTGTGGGCCCCATTAATACTCCTGTCCCTGTCTTCACTGGCCAGTGGACCTCCGTGGAGACAGATGAGGATATACTGGTTGTTTAAGGGCAATTCTGACATCAGTAGACAGCGGAGGAAAAGGCATTCTAAGCTGGGGACCAGCCCATGGGAAGGTCTCTGTTCTGGAGGGAAAGGTGCTGAGGTGCTGTGCTCAGAGAGGAGTCCCCTTGGGGGGTCCTTGTCCTCTACTAGGCTGTCCCAGGCAGAGGGAGCAGCAGGACCCTGAGTTGGCTCATGCTGCCTTATCAGGGGGTGAGTTCCCTGTTCTGGGAGGTATGCAAGCAGAGGTGCTGCTGGCCAGGCTCCTTCAGATTCAGCCTGGGAGGGAGGGTGGGGAGGGTGGGTGGGCCCTGGACAGGGATGGGAGGTTGAGCTCCTGCTGCCCACTGCCTGCAGGAGGAGTATATCCGTGAGCAGATCGACTGGCAGGAGATCACCTTTGCTGACAACCAGCCCTGCATCAACCTCATCTCACTGAAACCTTATGGCATCCTGCGAATCCTCGACGACCAGTGTTGCTTTCCCCAGGTGAGCTGCAGGCACTGTGTGAGCCTAGTCAGGTCACAGATCTCTCAGCCTCGTGTCCTCATCCCACCCTGACTCCTTCATTCCTCTCTGCTCTGGCCTGAGGAAGGCAGTGGGGGGTTGGGACACCCGACCTACTATTCACATCCTGGGGTGATTGAGGCCAGATGGGCAGCTATGTGTGTTCAGAAGAGAGGCTGCACCAGCCTGGAAAGTCACAGAAGGTTTCCTAGAGTAGGTAACCTTGGGATTGGACCTCAAATCCTGATTGCAAAACACAAGGGTGGAATGGCAGTGAGATCAATAGAGTGCAAAGGCAGTTGGCCTGGAGGGGAGGCAGTTAGGAGCTCACTCAGCCACACCTATCTTCAAGGCACCACTTAGGCCTCCAGTGCCTGGCTAAGGCACTTGCCTTCCGACCTAGGGAGATGGGTAGCCATGGGAAGCTGTGAGTTGTTCCTCTCTGGTGCTCAATTAGGAGCAGTCGGGGATAGTGAGGTTGCTACCAGGCCAAGAACAGGGTGTCCAGGCCCCCTGCCCACCCACTGATCCCTAAATTGCCCCCAGGCTACAGACCACACCTTCCTACAGAAGTGCCACTACCATCATGGCGCCAACCCGCTCTATTCCAAACCCAAGATGCCGCTGCCTGAGTTCACCATCAAGCACTATGCAGGCAAGGTCACCTACCAGGTGAGCCCCGAGACAGTCGGCCTGGCCGCTGGTGCTGCAGTGCTGCTAGCTGTTGGAGACACAGAAGCACAACACTGGCCCCAGACATTCACACCCAGGTCCAATTCTGACTCTGCTGTGCCCAAGCTCTGTGACCTTGAGCAAATTGCTTAGCTAGTCTGAGCCTCAGTTCTCTCACTTGGAAAATGGGGATAATAATAGTGCCCAACTCATGGGGTGGGTGTGAGAAATATAGGGTGGGTTTGATAAAGAGTAGCTCATCAATAGTGACTTCACTGTGGTCACCCTCATCACTATTACCTGAGGCACATTCCTGCCCTGGAGGTGTCTCAGGCTAGGATTCCATGCCTCTGTCCCCATCCAGGCCTTACTTTTCTCATCTGTAGAATGGGTACAGGACAATGTCCTTCACTGAGGGTGAGGCCAAGACCCAGGTTGGTCATGTGAAGCCATGGTGAATGCTCCCCTCCCCCAGGAATAGGGAGAATGGTGGGGACTGGAGAGGTAGGGACCATAGAAGTGAGGAAGATCCAGTCCCTCCTAGGATAGACAGAGAGACAGAGGCCAGGATTACCCGGGCCATTGTTCCCCTTTTCAGGTGCACAAGTTCCTGGACAAGAACCACGACCAAGTGCGCCAGGACGTGCTGGATCTGTTCGTTCGGAGCCGGACACGGGTGAGCCTTGCCTCCCACCGCTCTGGCCCTGCCCCCATGCATGGCCCCACCCCCACACCCAGCCCGCCTTCAGGCCTTAGACCGTGTTGCCACCTCCTGGCTCCGCTTAGCTTTGGCCAAAGACAAGGGTGGCCTGGACACCCTATCCCTGGCCTGTTCTCGCCTAGCTTGGCTCCTCATCCTGATCCTGCCATCTGGCTCCTGACAGTCCCAGTGGCTAGACCCCGGCCCCACTCCCAATTCTAACCCTGTACCCCACCAGCTGTGACCTTGCCCTGTACTTACCCCACTCTGGGCCCCACCCCATTCCCTGGCCCATTCTCTCCTGGCTTCTTGCCAGACCTGCTCCCCCAATCCCACCTCCTGGTGTTCTCAGTTTCCCCCACCCCACCCATAAGGCCCTGGGGGAGAGCTTGGGGTACCAACTTTGGGTTCCTTGAAGGCTTAGGGAGGCCCTGCATCCCAGCTACACTACGGCCAGCAGATGGCCCTATGACAGAGCACAGGCCTGGTAACATCACCTCCCCTATCTGGCCCTCCCCTTCCTCCTGTCCACTGGGCACCCTCCTCATGAGGTCATAGCCAGAGTTCACAACCATGTGTCTAACAGGCCACCTTGGGGCCAGGCACACAGTCAGTGACTGTGTGTTCCTTAGACTGAAGGGGAAAAAGCCAGTTATGGGATGGATCCCTTGGAAGGTGCTGAGCCCTACCTGTTTTGAGAAGCATGTAAGTTAGGATGACAGAGGCCTTGCAGAGAGAACAGGGGTCCAGTTAGTCTTCAGATCCCCCTGGTCCAGAGATTTGACTCCTGCTCTCTGTTCCTCCTCATTTCGGTCTCCCGGCCCCTGCCTGTTTTCCCTGCCCTGACCCCTGCCCAGGTGGTGGCACACCTCTTCTCCAGCCATGCCCCACAGGCTGCCCCTCAGCGCCTGGGCAAGAGCAGCTCCGTCACTCGGCTCTACAAGGCACACACCGTGGCTGCCAAGTTCCAGCAGTCACTCCTGGATCTGGTGGAAAAGATGGAGAGGTGGGGTGGGGGGCAGGTGGGCGGAGCACCCAGTCTCATCCTTAACCCACCTCATGACCCTCAGAGGGTGAGCGCCTTCTTTTCCTGAGGCCTCACGCTGTCCTCTTCCTGCCGCTACCAGGTGTAACCCCTTGTTCATGCGTTGCCTGAAGCCCAACCACAAGAAGGTGAGTGAGAGCTGAGGCCTCTGAGAGTGCCAAATCCTCCTGCCCATGCTGTGCGACCTTGGGCAAGTGGCTTGGCCTCTCTGGACCTGCATCTGCCCAGCCTAGCATTGGGACTATTCACCATGACTGTGCCTTCTGCACATGGCTGAGCCAATGTGCAGACTCCCTCTCTGGGCATCCCTACAGGAGCCAAATCTCTTTGAGCCAGATGTGGTAATGGCACAGTTACGCTATTCAGGGGTGCTGGAGACCGTGAGGATCCGCAAGGAGGGATTTCCAGTGCGCCTGCCTTTCCAGGGGTTCATCGACAGGTATCTTGGTTAGGGTAGTTCCTGAGCTCTACAAATCCCTGCCCAAGTCCCCATGGCCCCAGGAATACACAACCCAGGCAGTACAGGGCTTGCCATGCACAGTTGCTCAGGTTGTATACTTCACAAGGCTGCCACATGCTAGCTGTTATGTGGTAGATACATTTATTGTATTGCCTTTTTTGTAGTTATATATTGTATAACATATAATATGTATAATCAACCCTCCGTGTTGATTAGAATGATTTTAGTAGTTACAATGACAAGTTTCCAGCAGGTGGCAGTCAAGTGTCCTGTTCTACTGAAATCATCTATTATAACAATTGTCTGACACCCAGAAGTAAAGAGTCTTGAGGATGGAGTGCCTTTTTTCAGATTACAACAAACTATTCGTGGAGCCACCACTGGGACTAGGCCTTTTGGACACGGGGCTGGGGGCAGTAACCCCATGGTCTAGCAGGCACCCCAGGTAGGTCTCATAGCCTCAGACTGAGTTTGGGCCCCCTGCCAGGTACTGCTGTCTAGTGGCCCTCAAGCATGACCTGCCGGCTAATGGGGACATGTGTGTGTCAGTGCTGAGTCGCCTGTGCAAAGTCATGCCAAACATGTACCGTGTTGGGGTCAGCAAGGTGAGTCCCGCCCCACAGTCAGCCCTTGGAGACCCCAAGTTCGGGGGCTCCACAACTACTGAGTCAGAAATGTCCAAGCTAGAGACTGCCGTCCCAGGAGCAACCCAGATGAGCTTGGGACATGGAATGCTAACTACCTGATTCACCAGCATCCTTCAACCTTTCCAAATCCACCCCATCCTCCAGCCCCGCTCTAGGAGGCTGCCCTGCCTATTCTGTCTCCACGGACTTCTAGAGAGGGAGGGGCCCTTAGTCCAGCCTCCTGGCTCCTATCTGCCTCAGTGCCTTCCTCCTGCCCTCAGCTGTTCCTTAAGGAACACCTATACCAGCTGCTGGAGAGTATGCGAGAGCATGTCCTGAATCTGGCAGCCCTCACGCTGCAGCGCTTCCTCCGTGGCTTCTTCATTAAGCGGCGATTCCGCTCTCTGCGCCATAAGATCATCCTGCTGCAAAGCCGGGCTCGTGGCTACCTTGCCAGGTGAGGCGCAGAAAAGGCAGGATTCCTAGGAGACCTATGGTCAGGCTCAGGAGAGGCCACGCCTGACCTTGGGTGGTGAGCTCCCTATCCCTGGAAGCATGCAAGCTGAGGGTGGAGGCCTCTGTAGGAGGATGATCAGATTCTCTGCGTCTCTGCTTTTGAATGTCCTTCCCAGCCAACCCCAGGTCCTTGTAACTGGTGGGTGGGAATCCATTCAGCCAAGAGGGACCTTACCCTGCATTTCAGGGACCCTGAGATTATAAGCTGTTGGGAAATAAATTATTCAGGCAGGTTTAATCCAGGCCTTACTACTTAATTTGCTGTGTGACCTTGGCCAAGTCACTGCCCCTCTCTGAGCTCCAGTTTCCCTTTGTGCCAAAGGACCCCAGGAGTGAGATGTGGGCACTGGCTCCCAGGCCAGGCTGGCAAGGGCCTCTCTGCCCCTTGATCACCCTGTCACCCTGTGGCCCCAATCCCTGACCTCCCCACTCCCCCAACCCAGGCAACGCTATCAGCAGATGAGGAGGAGTCTGGTGAAGTTCCGGTCCCTGGTACACGCATACATGAGCCGCCGACGCTATCTCAAGGTATAGGCTCTACCTTATCTGGGTCCAAGGGGACAGCAGAGAAGGGGAAAAGGTGCTTAGCACCCAAGAGGAGACCATTGGCCTCAGGCCGTCTTGGGTTCAAATTCTGCCTCTGCCACCCACTAGCTCTGTAACCTTGGCCATTGTCTATCCTCAATTTTCCCATCTACCCCTTGGGATTGTGGAGAGGGTTAAACGAGATGTTGCATTGAAGGATTTGGGCTGGTGCTGGGTTCACAGTGGGGTCTTCAGGAATTGAGGACCGTTAGAATTTGGCGACCTGAACGTCACTGGGTATGGTTTTGCTCTTACCTTCGTGTCTTGACCCACTGTCATGTAAACCAGCAACCAGAAAGATAAATGCAGTTCCCAAAGCAGTGAAGCAGTAGGTAGCCTTTACTGAAGGTTTTGTGGCGCTGCAGAGGAGGGCTTCCCATGATGCAGTGCTCAGCCACCTCCCAGAAATTCTCCTTGTGTGTCTCTTTCCCCAGCGTTTTCCTGCCTCCGCCTTTTGCCTCTGTCTCTGTCTTGCTCTCTCTCCTTTCCCCTCCCTGTTTCTCTGGCCAACCTCAGCCTCCTGCCCCACGTGTGGAGGGGGGCAGTCACCTCCACACAACAGGCAAGCTGTCCCCCTTGCTTGAGTGTGGCCACCTTGCGTAAGCTGGCCCGGCCTGCCTGGGTGCCCATCATCACCTCTGCCTGCAGCTCCCCACCTTGACATCTGCTCTCCTGAAGCTGAGGGCAGAGTGGAGGTGCCAGGTGGAGGGGGCGTGGCTGCGGGAGCAGGAGGTGGGTGTGGGTCTGGGTGGCAGCAGGGTCAAGGAGGGAGGCTGGCAGGTGGGGATGTGGCAGGCCTGTCTGCCCCATGCACTGTCCCTCCAGGAGCTGAGCAAGCGGGAGGTAGTGGCTGTGGGGCACCTGGAGGTACCGGCTGAGCTGGCTGGGCTCTTGCAAGCAGTGGCAGGTGGGTCAGCGCCAGGCGGGGGGAGGGCACAGGCAGATCAGAGCAGGCACCGCATTCCCTCCTCTCTCTACAGGCCTCAGGCTGGCCCAGGTGCCTCAGGTGGCCCCTGTGCGGACTCCTCGGCTCCAGGCTGAGCCCCGTGTCACACTGCCCCTGGACATCAACAACTATCCTATGGCCAAGTTTGTCCGGTGCCACTTCAAGGTAAGGGCTAGCTGAGGTCCAAGGTGCCCTGGCTGATAGACGCTGACCAATTCGAATGGACATTGTCCTTGCCCTGGGGCAAGCTCCTGGCTGCGCCCTGTGGTGTTGGGTATGAACCTTTTAGTTGCTGCATCATAGGGAATCTGGGAGATCCCTGGGGTCTGGATAGCAGTGGAGAGCCCTCAGGGCTCGGGCAGGGCTGTTTACCACCAACCAGTTTGGAAATATTTCAGAAATTGAACAACTGGTGGAGCCATAGCATGTCAGCCCAGCTCTGATTTCCTCCCCTCCAGATGAGGGTTTATGCTGTCCCTACCACCGACTTGCTGAAGGCCACTGTGGTGGCCCCTCACCAGCCCTCAGTTTCCCCATCCATACACTGAGGACCGAAGCCCCTGCCTCATAGGCCTTGGAGTCCCATGTGGCATGGAGCAGTGGGTCCAGATGTGCCTGTCAGTCCTGGCTCTGTCTGCTCATGTGCCTGCCCTGTGCCCTAGGAACCTGCCTTTGGGATGCTGACAGTGCCCCTGAGGACACCCCTCACGCAGCTGCCTGCCGAGCACCATGCAGAAGCCGTGAGCGTCTTCAAGCTGGTATGGGGTCTGCCCTAGCCCACCTTCTAATTCATAGCCCCTGGCCCTGAAGCTGGGCCGTGAGGCTTCCAGTCTTCCCAGCCCCCCGCAAGCCCAATCCATGAGCCCCACACCTCTTCCCCAAAGGAGGGACTTTTATGTCGGAGGGGGAGATCTGGCTTCCTCTCTGAGGACTGGTGACTTTTCTTCTCCCAGCCATCTTCCTGGCGAAAAAAAAAAAAGGCTGCCTTGGAGCCTCTCGGGGACACCAAGAAGAGACCCAGACCTTCTCCTTAAGGACTTCTCAGTTTGAAGGGGGAGGCAGAGTTGACCCAGCCAGTGACCACCAGTATGGACAGAGGGAAGCACCAAGGCTAGGGAGTCTGATGGGGCCACTAATTCAGCCCTGGGCAGGGCCAGAGAGGGCTTCCTGGAGGAGAAGGCATTTGAGCTGGAGGGGAATTTGCCAGGCAGGGAGAGTGGAGAAAGTACACAGAGAAGAGGAAATTGGTATGGTCAGAACGGAGTCAGGAGGGCAAGGGTGAGACTGGCCAGTGAGGCCTTGATTACAGACCCAGAGCTTAGATTTCATCCCAAGGGACCTAGGGAGCCAAGGCAGGTGCTTCCGTGAGAGGGATGTGGTCATATCTGAATGTTAAAAAGAACACTGTGTGGCCTAGATAGAGCAGGAGGTGGGGGCTGGCTGGAGGCCAGCGGTGCAGGGAGGGGGCTGGAGCTGCATGGGGAGTTCTAGAAGGTTCATGAACAGGAAAGATGACATACTTTGGATCTTTAATTTTCCCATAGTTTTGGTAAACTGCCTGGTCATTCAGCATAGAATACGGCAGTTGTATGCTGGGCGCGATGGCGCACACTTGTAATCCCAGCACTTTGGGAGGCCAAGGCAGGCAGATCCCTTGAGTCCAGGTGTTTGAGACCAGCCTGGGAAACATGGTGAAACGCTGTCTCTACTAAAAATACAAAAATTAGCTGGGTGTGGC